AGAAGGGAATAGGTTTTACCTTACCATATGACTGCCATAGTGTTGAGAGTATCTTTTGTTTACATATGTATTTATTTGATTGATTAAAAAATGCCCTTTACCTTCAGAGCCAGAGGAACCATTTTCAGAAGCATGTAGATAATCAAAATGTTTTCACATCCTGAACACCAAAGAAGCACCATCTTTTGGTTTATTTACTATTTCTTTCTAAATGTTTTCATTTTGAAACTATCCCCCAAAGGTAATAAATGAGGCCCATATTAGGCCCCAGGGAAGAAGAAATTCAGCAGGATTGTCTGCCTCCAGGTTAAGGCTCAATGAGGTTAAGTTCAAATGGTTTTGCAACTCATTCATGCAACTCTTTCATGCAAAACCATGGAACTTTCTCCTCACTCTGCTTGCCATAAACTCACAAAGAAAGCATATCTGTAGGGGTTTTTCTTTCTTAAGATTTTCCCTGCCCCAGTCCCATTACTATGTATCAGCAGCTTGTGAGGCATTGATGAGGTGGAATTGGTAGGAAGATTTTGATGGAACAGTTGACCTATGAGCAAGTATTGGATAATGAGGGGCAGGTTTGAGATCTGTGCTGCATGGAAAGAGAAAGAAAGGACATAGACCAAGACTGACTTTCAAATTCCTACAGAATTCAGTATTTTAGAATAAATGTTTCCTGTCTCATTTTATATGCCAAGACACCAAAACGCACATTGGTTAAGTAATTAGCATCAATCAAAAGTTCAAAGTTGAAAACAAATTGAGATAATTGACTAGTGTAACTGAAGAAACACCCTTCCCTTGTATTCTAAGGGTTGTTTGTACAACCATTAAAAATAACTATATATTAGTAGGACCAAAATAATATGTATGGTGTTTAGATATAAGCACATTTTGTTTCAACTATTCAGCCTGAGGCTTGCTTAGGAAATTCACCCATGGTAGATAATTTAATGCCCAGTTAGCATGAAATTACTTTGTGTGTGTGTGTATGTGTTACTGGGTATTGAACCCAGGGACACTCTGCCAGTGAACTACATCCCCAGCCCCTTTTAATTTTGTTTTTGAGACAGGGTCTCAGTAAGTTGCCTAAGCTGGCTTCAAACTTGTGGTCCTCCCGCCTCAACTTCCCAAGCTACTGGGATTACAGGCATACAGACCACAGGTCCTTACTTCCTTTGAATCACACAAAATATTTGTGGGTTCTTATCAGTTGTTGCAAAGTTCAATTTAAAACCCCATTCTTGGCCCCATGGAATTAATTATATTTGCAGGATCTTAATTTCCTTCACCTTATTGTTTCCAGTACAATTTATAGCACTCTCCAAAATCCCATGCCAACATGGGTTAGAACAAAATGACATATTTTATGGCATCTTTCCTGAATAAATGTCTTTGGGGCCATGCATTTACCCACATACATGCAAAAAGGGGATCGGATGGTATTTGGCTTACTAAGTCCTAGAATCAGAAAATTATGGAGTCTTTTTTAAAAATTTTTTTCAATTTATTTTTTTTATTAGCTACACATGACATTACAATGATCTTGGAAATTCATACATTTGAATCAATTGGGGTATAATTTCTCATTTTTCTAATTATGGAGTCTTTATTAAGGCCATTGAGGAAGATAAATGGAGCTACCTTTATTGAGCACCTACAATGTTTCAGGTAGTTTACATATATACCTTCTAATTATCACAGCCCAGAGAAATGGACAATTTTATCACTATTTGGTAGAAGAAAAAACTGAAACTAATTGTATCAAACCATTTTTTTTAAGGTTTTAAAATCTGACTCCAAAGACCATATTCTTCCTATCACACCACAGCATGTTGTCTTTGTGTCTCAAGATTATTTATGTTCTTGAAATATAAAAAAGAATCATTGGATTTCATGGCCTATTATTATAAAGCACAAAGTCGTGTCCCATTTTTTAGTGGAGGCTCCTCGGTTTTCTTGATAATTGAATCCCCAAGCTCAGCATTTGGCAAGCCATTGAGAAAAAACATAGAAAGCTAGATAGGAGAAGGGGGAAGAAATAAGGAAAAACAGAATATTGCAATTGAACATCTGGTGGTAACTCTCAAAAGAAGGGAAAGGAAGACACTTGGTTTTCCTGCCATATTTTTCTTTTAAAAGGAAGAATGGGTAGCATGCGGCAAAGGGTAAATAGAGAATATTCATGTTGTGATAATTAGCAAACAGAGCCAAGGAGAGCTGGCTTGGGAGTTGCGTCTCCATCTCCCTGGTCATTGTACCCTGCATGGAAAGGGAGGATTCAGTTTGGGTTTCAGGCTTAGAGTTGTCATGCGAGAAGTGTACATTAATTTCATATTTTCTCATAACTTTCTTTTGGGGATAAGCATTTGGTTTTCTGCTGTTTATTATTTCAAAGGCATCTGTATGCTAATATGCTTTATGCTAATTATTTTCATGTTTGCCCCTCAGGTTATGCTTCATATCACCCACCAGGGAGGATCATCTCTCATGAAAACTTTCAAATTTGATTTTGAAAATTATTCAGAAAAAATTAAGCCATGCTCTCTCCTAACAGGAAATAATATGCTCTGGAGAATCCTGTAATTCAAAGAAAATGGACTGGGATAACATTTGGGTTCTCATACTACCAAAATCCTCGTGAGAAGGACAGCCAGGTACACAAAGCATTTATAACATTGTGACATTGAAATGTTGGAAGGATGATTAAAATAAAAATCTTAATAATAGGCTTTTAGAAATTGCTAAATTACACTGTTTTATCCAGAGAGGGGAAAGAAAGGGCTGTTTTCATTCTCTCACAGCGTTTGAGGTGTGTTAACTGCTTCTACTGCTACAAATAATACCATGTTTTAATTGAATGCCATTGTTTCTTAGCATCATTTCTAGAAAGTTAATTCTAATGATATTAATGCCTGAAGCTGAGTTTGTGCTTACAGGAAGAATCAGGTAAAATGGAAATCTCGTATAATAAGCGAGCTTGATGTTTTCTTCCAGTGCTTTTATTACAGAGATTGCGTGTGTGTGTGTGTGTGTGTGTGTGTGTGTGTGTGTGTGAAATTATAATTTACTTTGAAGATAGAAGTTAGCCAATTAGCCTATCTTAAAAATATTTTTCAGGCACCTTTTTTTTGAAGATAAACAAGACTTACAATATAATTCCTTGACATGAGATATTAAAACTTTGATGATTGGGAAGGGTATTTTTTTACCTCTCCCTTGGACGGAAATTGGACTCCTTTTGTTCCCAAGCACTTCAGGGGCTCCTAGAAAAGACCTCATATTACATTCCTCTGTATTGTTCTCTGCCTTGCTCTTTGCTTCAGAAGAGCAAGGAGCCAGAAACAGTGGGGGATTCCTACTGCAGATTTAAGCTCATTTCCTGGTCAGCCTCCTCTTTGCTTGATTTTTCCTAACTCTACTTTTGTGGAGCTGCCCCTAAGGACCTTTCTGTTTTTTTTTAAAATGCTTTTGCTGTTAGACGTTAACAGGGACATCACTCTATGTAGCCTCGCTGCTGGTATTTCTCCTACTGACTCCTGAGCTCCAGCAGGCTTTGTAAGTAGGAGGGTTTCCTTTCAGGTTTGGAAGAAAGATCTGCTTCTGCAAGGGGGGCCTGACAAGTAAACTAGGCTCTCCCCAGGCAGCAGGAGATCAGAAGGAGCCTACCCAAGGCAGGTGAAGACAGGGACCTGCCCAACATGTGCTGGGGTGTTTTACTTACAGTCATAATCTATATAAATAGGAAGAGTCATTGCTAGGGAGATAGTTGGTAAACTGGCTAGAATAAACATTTGTCAAATGATGATAAAATAACATTTTGTTGGAGGCTAGTAATGTTTGCTACATTTTGTTGCAATCAAAGAACCTGCAAGGTTTTATGCGCCCAGCCCTTGTGACCCATCATCATTTTCTTTTTATTCTACTTCTTTGCCTGTGATAATAACAAAATAGCTACAGATTTTCCCTTTTAAAGTTGTATTCGAAGAATGATTCATTAAACTAACACATTTGGCCTTAATGCAGCCCCAGCTAAGATGAAATTTTATCTTCTTGCTCATCTCTGAGCATAATTTAGAGATAATTCAAATAGAAAAGCAATTTGTGTGCCATTAGGCACCACAATTTATTAGGTGCCAGTGAACTACACAGCCTGATTAAGAAGGCTGCTATCTGTTTGTGATTCTCTTCGCCAACTAAGTTCTATGAGGAAAGGAAAGACACCAGGAAACAACCATTTGTGGTAGCTCTGGAAGGTGGTGGACATTGTGGACTTTGGCATACGCAGGTGGGCAAGGCCCAGGGTTCATAGGCAGCAAATATTCAATTGACCCAGCTCCAAGAGTGTTGTGTGAGCTGAGAGAACTGGAACACCTGATTCTGAAATGCCTTTGGAGCGTGGGTAGAAGCTCACAACTTTGAAATAATAGGAACTAGAATTAGAAAAGCCTGGGTTTGAGTCCCACCATCAATACATACTCATTTTCAGCCTAGATGAATACTTTTTACCTCCGTTCTTCATTCTCCTTGTGGGTAGCTAACATTAGGAGAAGTTTTTTTTTTTTTCTTTTTTCTTTTTCTTTTTTAATCACATTTAATTTACTTTTGGCTGTGAGGAAAAAAGGGGATGGCATATTTGCAAGATGCCCACATCTAGTAAGTGCTCAACTAATGGTCATTATTTCTATTATCATGGATATCTTATTTTTAGGATTATCACTATTCATGATATTAATGGTTGGACAAGTTTTATAATTTTTGCTCATGGAGAACTTAGGTAGTAGAAATCAAACGATACAAATATGAAATATTTTTTCTGCTACTAAAACAGAACCATCAAAAATAACGATGTGGAAAGTCTCAAGTTTTAAGTGTGATTGGCTGTGTGCATCATCACAGTTTCAGTAAAAATTTACTTTAAAAAAAGTCTAAGATGTTGTATAAGGTGAAGATTTTAGAGATTTACTAAATTTAATTGCTTGTTTCTAATCAATGCCAAATATCCAGGTGAAGTAGAAAGAAATAAAGCAGGTTATAAGCAAGTTATTTCTAGCCTTACTGCCAAGAATCCAGATGTCTAGCTAATAAACTTGCTTTTTTTCATTTTCCTTCTGGGGACCTGATATTTTGAAAGCCGTTTTGCAGTTGGTTTCTTGTGTTGCTGTAATGGTGACCTGGTGGGTTACAGGCTACAGCATGACATCCTCAAGTGGTATGGGGTGTGGAATTGATTAGAATGAAGGACATGCATAGGAAACAACATCTTGTGGTTGAAAAGCCCTACTGAGCTTCTAGGACAGCCTCAGACATCCAGAGCATCATACCAAAGCCTGCACACAGGTCCCAAGGCCACTGAAAAATTTTAGCTTTGCCGCTCAACAAGAGTAAATAGGCTTGTTTGTGTTTGCCTCTGAAACACATGACTCCTCCCACAAAGAAAAGACAGATATTAATTAAAATTTTGCAAAGTTGGAATGGATCATGCATCCTGTATTAGGCAAAGTTTTTTTAAAAAATCACAAAAGCCAGTGTGACTTGACAAAAAAAAAAAAAGACCCACAGATTGTTTGCTAAAAAGGCTCTTATTGCATATAAATCTCATTTAAAGTAAAAAGAAAAACCTTTTTTCTTTGTATTTGAAAGCATTCTAATGACATTAGAGCCTTTTATAAAATAATATATTGAGTGCATATTTATGTTTTGTTTAATCTTCACCTTTTCCTGTGGATTTACCTCTTTCATGGAGCCATTTTTCAAAAGAAATTTTGACAATAAGTTACTCTGGTGTGCTCTATGGTATTTCACTTTAAACATCCACATGTAGATTAAAGTACAACATCATTTACCTTTCCCAATGTTTAGCATAGAGAAGTGGAAAAAAATAGCAATTAAAAGGAAATAGACTCACTAGAATTATAGCACTACTTCCCCAGATTTCATTTCCATCCTGTCAGTCTTCAATGGGATGTTAGTGTAATTTCTCTTTAAATAGGCATGATTTGGAAATGTTCACAGTCACAAGTGAGAGAACAAAATAAGAGAGATTTTCATTTATAAGATTGCCTTTCTCTTATCTACTGGTCTTGTCTCCCAGACTGTCTGTCTGTCTCTGGAAAGCAAAGTCAATAAAAATGATTAGAGTTGGCATCTCACAAATGTACACCCTTAAACCATGAAGCGGTAATGCTGTGCAGGAAATATTTTTTTGACCTTTTCAAATTGCATCCAACTGTCTCGGGAATTTCTCAGGGACTAGAGGTAATAAGGTTCAATCCGTTTTACTGTCTGGCTTCAAATTTAGTTCCTTCGAAGCTCTAACTTATCTATTCTTTGCATCTTGGCCCTAGCATCCATTCAACACGGGAATCCATGCATCTCATCTCTTTTCCTCTTCTCAGTTTTTTTTTTTTTTGCTAAAGGATCACACTCTGGAATCTACAGTCATGACGACTTTCCATTTATTGTCGCCTTCAAAAGCAAAATATTAGCAAGAGAAGATTAGTGGGCATTTTGTCCTTTGAGAAGCCCTTGTTGAATTTAACTAGTTAGTAAATTCCATCCTATCTTACATCTGTTTTTACCCATATGATTTGTGTTTTAATAAACTTTATTATATGTATTTTTTCATATTAATTATATCATAGGCATTTTAATTTTTTTTAAGTAGAAGAGGCCAAAATATACAAATTTCCTTTTGTTCCACATCGATTTTGTTTTTTCTTCTGTGAGTCCAAATGCAGCGGACACACTCCCTGGTAAACAAGGGAGTTATCCAAGTGTGACATGCTAAAAGGCAGCTGAGTGGCCTCATTCTTCACTGTGTTCCCTGAAGGAGAACAGAAAACAGAAGCTAGGGACACATTCCTTGACCCCATGAAAGCGTTGGGTGTCAGGAAGCCTTGACGAGACTTAAAAAGCTTGTCTTCCTTTTCATATTCTGAGCATCTCTGTGCAGAATGTGATTCTGGGTGTTCTCTCATTTGTAGAACACGTCATGTTCGAAAGCACACTCTGTCTTGCTGTCTCTGTCCATGGCTGCTTACTGCCTTCTGCAGAGATTAGAATCTTGGCTGGAATTTCCTGTGGTCAGTGGAGCTTGGAGCCTCTTTTGGGCTTGGAAGTCATGTTCATGGGCAAACAGCCATCAGGAGGAGGATGTCTTTTTGAAGTTGCCTTTCTCAGACAGTGTATTTTCTTGAACACTAATTTGTCAAGTTTGATCTCATAAAATACGTGGCTTTATAGAAATGAGATTATTTCAAACAGGCCTATTTAGAAAGTAGGCGTGGGGAAGAGGTTATGAAGACAGACTCTTTTTTTATTCACAGCAATGTGCTTTGTCCCTAAAAACACTAAGTATATTCATACCATTGTTCATCTTCATATTAGAGCTTATATATTTTTCCCATGTAACACAAAATATTTGGGTTAAAATGAAATCTACAAAATATGTTTAAGAGTAAGTTGCTATTTTGTCCCTGGAAATTTAATCCATCTTAATAATTGAGTCACCCTCCTGATGCTGTCCTTTATGGCTAGCTGGTATTTTATTTAGCAAAGATAAAGTATTCTGGCTGTTTTACCAGTTCAGATTCACCCAATATTTGCAATAAGCTTAGTGTCTTTATCACCAGCTGGGGAAGAGGGAAGACTGTCAGGTGCTGTAATTAAAGGAGGTTTGATTCTTGAGTGGAGCTGCAGTGCACCTGAGAGGTTGTTAATGCAGGTGCATGTGTCTGGGTGCACACCAGCCGCCCCCCACACCTCCGTGTGAGATGCGCATGCTCACTTGAGTTTGGGATTAGAAGGCAGCAACTCTAAAACCAAATGGTTTCTACTCTCTCCCTGTGGATGTCACCTCTTAGTCCGTTGGACACTGGGCTATAGCTATTAAGCCTTTTCAGTACACAGAGTGAATCTAATCATTATACATTTAGTTTCTCCTCTTTTGCTAAGATACATCATCTTTCTTGCCCTTTAGGACCTGGAAGTAAAACAAAGTCAATGTTCAGACTTTCTACTGGAAGCAGAAGGTGATTTGAATGGGTTGGAAAAAGGAAAGCGGTGGTGCTGTCTGGGGCTGGTGTGTACTAGGTTCTTTTATTTGCTGGGGTGTTTTCTGAGTTTGTGGAATGGCTGGGAAATTAAAGCAACATTGAGATTGAGAGGCCAAGAAAAATAACATCTACTTCTTATTAGATAACTACTGTTTGTAGGGCAGCTGCTAGATAACTTGTCTAACCTCACTTCATCTTTGCAGGAATTCAACTTACAAGGGGAAGAGAGGCTTAAAGAGCTTAAAAACTGAATTTCCTCTTAAGTGGCAGGAGAATTGTATGAAGAGAAATATTTTTGCACTGAGAGGAACAAACTAATTCATTTGTTGTGCTGGGTGGCCTCTGGACATTTCCTCCTTTCTCTTTCTCTTCTTCCTTCAACACCTGCCCTCCTCCTCCTTCACCCCTTTCTGCTCTTCCTCCACTTTACTTCATTTCTCCTTCTCCTTTGTTTTCTTTTCCCAAAGACAGAACAAAGTGAAGCCTCAGTTAAGCAGTGTTCCAATCTTCTTCCACAGAATGGCCATCTCTGCCTCTTTTGCTATTGAGTTACTTTCCCTAGAGCTTCTAACATCATTATTTTGAAAGTTTAATGAAGGCCAAGGGTTCTGATTGGTGGTTCATATGCTGGGCAGCATACTTTTTTTATTACCTTAAAATGATAATGCAAGTGGCAAGAGATGGTGATTACATGTTGTCCTTACATGCTCAGAGGGTACCCTGCCCATCTACCTTTTGTCTGTTAATGAATGGCCAGAGTCAAAAGGGTTCAAGAAAGGATTGAGGAAAGCAGATCCTCAAAAAGACTTTTGTAGGTAGCCCAGGAAAACCTGTTTCTATAAAAATATTATGTTTCTCTATTAGGATATATAGTAAATTAAATTTCTTCAACTATACAACTGAAATATTTTTTTTCTTCTGTTTGGTTCACATGTCTATTACAAAAATAAACATTCTTGATTGCCAAAGCGGGCTTGTTACTATGATGTCAGCTCAATGCAAATATGGACGTGAAGGGATTCAATTTCGCTCTCATGGCAATGTTTAATATACTTCAATTTGTGTCTCAGGGAAGGGGCTTGGCTATTTATCCTGGGTAAGCCAGGCTGCTGGGCTGCTCAGCCTCCCTTAGGCTCCTGATGCTGTGGCCGACAGACTGACGGGGCATCATTTGTTCCCAGGCATATCAGAGGACAGAAAATTGATTCAAATCTAAGCAGAGCAGTAGAATCTCAAAAGCTGTCACCACCATTCACTGCGTATACCCTTTTCCTGGAGTGGGTACTCTGAAAATTCAGTCAACATCTCACTTGTGATAAATATCTTCCTTATAAAAATTTCAGACAGAACTACACAGGAAAGGGAGCCTGGTTTTTAGACACAAATATGATTTCAAGATTTCTTTCTGTGCTTCTCTCTTTCTCTCTAACTTGGGTCTTAGGGCTCTTGAATATGCATGTGATCTCAGATCAGGGTTCATGAAAGACTTGATGCTTTGTACAAGGTCTCTTTGATTCTCACTGTCACCCTTCTTGAAACCAAACTCAAAATAATATAAGCAAGCAAGAATAAATCATTCTGAAACAATCTGCCGGACCCAGTTCATCTCCACCACTTTGCTTTCTCTTACTGTGGAGGGCAGAAGAGTGACAGCCTCAGCTTTCAATCTGTGCTTTCAGCACCTGCCTCTGGGCTGTGATACCCGGGGAACCTCCGCTTACAGTCAGGGCTACAGCAGTATTTATTTTTCCTTAATTGGAACCCCACTGATACCCTGTGGGATTTCCCCCCTTGGCAAGGCAATATATCCATATAGACCTAGAGCACCGCCACCATAGTTGGTTGTAATATTATGGTCAGACGCATCAACATTGGGATCAAAATTAAACCAACACCTAGGCTGCTGAAGTTTCTCGACTACCTTCTGATATTATTAGGAACTCAACGTTTTTTTTTCTCAGTGTTTATCTTTGAAGGTAAAACAATGTCAGCACAATTTCAGATTCCATACACTGTCACCCTGACTCCTCTTGTTTTAGTTCTTCTTTGGCTTTGGGCAGTTTGAGAATCATAAAATTACTATTATCCATAGTGAACAAGGAAACAATGAACATAAGAAGTGTGGGCACACTATAGAGAAACGTTTTCCTATATCTCTATTTTTTTGTCCTTTCTAGATGAACAAATATAATAAGAGGCCTTGAAACCTTTAACTTTATTAAAATTTAATGAATTAACAAGTAAATATCGTCTGTCTAAACTTTTGAGTGTCACAACAAAGTTCATTTCCTCGGACATCAGAGGGCCACTTCCTTGTCTATATTTATGGCTCCAGCATTTGCATTTGCTTTTTCTTTGTGCTATTTTTTATTTTTACCATTGAAGTTCATGAAGACTTAATCATTAGCCCTCTAATTTTCCAGAAAAAAAAATGTTGATTTATTGAACTGGCTGCAGAAAAGGAAGAAGAAGATCAATCTGACATTGTAGGTTAATAGTAGGGAACAAAACACATTCATAATTAGAAGAGAAAAGGACTTTCCTCATTCCTTCCAGTTTATAATAAAAAGCCCCTCGCCAAAGTGTCTTAGAAAATAATGCATTCAGACTGAGTCGAATTACCGCCTAGCAGATTCTATTTATCTGTAGCTTAGAAAGCAGCTGCGTTTTTGTAAAAAGCAATGAATGTGGCAGTCCTACTTAAAGGTAGAAGAAAAAGAACACCCCTTGTTTTGTAATAAGGGGATTTTCAATTTAAAAGAGAGAGCGAGCCTGTTGTGTGGAGTAGGGTTATTACATTCACTGTATTCTATCTCGCCCACCAGGAGGCTAATAATGAAGGGGCCAGGGAAGGAGGCCAATGCTACAAGGGTTATCTCACAACCTCAGATGCTGGGTAAGTCGAAGGAGACAGAATCGCTTCTGGATGACATTCAGAAGGCCGGAGCGATTATTTGGGAGAGAAAAGCCTGCCCTATTCTTTCAAGGTAAATAGTTCATCTGTCAGCAGCATGATTCAGTATAAAAATGTGTTTATATAAAGATGTCTATAAAGTTTCCCTTTTTTAAAAAAAAAAATCATTTTAGGTGCGTGCATATCCCCTGACCTGCCCATCTACTGGTCCAGAGATGAATTATTCGAAACCTGCTTAGACAAAGGCTGCCCTTGGAGCCCCAACACACCCCAAACCACGCTTTGAAGGATCTGCCAAGCTCACTTTTAATCATGAGAAAGAAATTACCCACATGGAGACAGCAGAAAATGAGAAAGTTGAGCTCGTGCTGCGAATAATTCCAGCGAGTGCCAAGGGGCTAGTTGAGGAATGACTTCATGAGGTGAATATCTTTAGCTTGTACTTAGGGTTTGGTTAGCGGATAATCGTTTTCTCTTTTAGGAGCATTGACTATCCTAAGTGTATTTCCTAACCAGTGCTCAGGGCATCTGTCAGGACATTGGTTGACAGATTTAATACTGGTCTCACCCTTGTTGTTATTTACGATGACTAATTTTACATTTGCAAATATGCAGAAATCAATTTAGGTGGAAAGTTCTCTCTGAGCCTGTGACGGTTCCCAGCTGTCTGTATTCGTGTGCATTGCTGTGAGTGTCTGTCCGGTGATCTCTGTCCCTGTGTGTGCCTGCCTGTGCCCTTGTTCTTGTCTTTTCTCTGTTGTGAACACAGGTTGGGAGAATTAGCCAACCGATGGGTACTCAAATGTGATCCAAAGTTTTTCATTTGAGTTTTGGAACAGAAAAAAAAAAAAAAAACAGGAATATATATCACTTCATGATTAATGGTCAATCTGAATTTTTAATTCATATGAAAGGAGAAAGAGGAGGAGATATGAATCAAATGACAGGACTGACCTTTTCCCTTTGGGACAAGCATGATTCAAATTAAACATCACTTTTGCTGTGAAATTAATTTGAAGTCCTTTTGTTTTTCTTTTCTTTTCTTTTTTTTTTTTTTGTGTGTGGCTGGTTTAACTCCTTGATGTCTGTTCTTTCAAAGAAGTTTCCTTCTATCCCTGCTTCACACCTGAGTTTATTCCCAGTAGCTCATGTCCTTCTTTTGTTTCATTTTTCTAAAGATCAGACCAGAGTATTTTACTACTTCAAAAGCTTCATTACCCACAAGATAAGATCCTCCCTAAAAACATGCTATTTCTTTGCATCCCAAACTAATGTTCCAATAAAAAGAAGTAAGTAAATAAATAATAAATAATCACTTTCTTGTTCTAAGGCTAATTTGGCCAGGGAGGCGGGAGTGGGAAAGCAAGGGTTCTTTGTGAACCACAGAGAAAGAATGCCACAAAACCCCCACGTTCTCTCCCGATTCTCTAGTTTCCCACATAATGGAGTCACAGGATCGCCATGCCAACCTTAAGCAGTTTTGGCTTTGAGCAGGCATGTGCCTGGGCTCTTTCAAACTACCCATTGGTCCTGGTCTAAAGGCCTCAGGCCCAGACTTGTAGAAAAGCCGCACTGTAGGAGAAAAGGCCTGACTGCTGTCCCATTAGTACACTTTCTTAACGCCACAGTTAAGCATCATCAGGACTGAGATGTGGTTGACTCTCTTTTTGGAGCTTGGTGGCTTGTGGGGAAAGAGAAAATACTAAAAGGATTAAGAAATGGGGTTGAGAACAACCAGGGTATTTTCAGAAGGACAATGGGAAGGCTTTTTAATACCACCTCTAAGGGAAGTAGAGGTGAGGTAGGGGAGGTGAGCCAGCTGGGCTTGTATAGGGGGGGTGGAGTGAACCAGCTGGGGGTAGCGGTAGAGGTGGGGCGAGGAGGTAAGAGGTGGAGGCAGATGAGCAGCTGTGTTTATTTTAATACATATCATTTAACCCTCACCTAAAAACAAATTGGAGAGGTTTGGGAGTGCATTAATCTGGACCCAATTAGCATGTCTTTCTCCTTCAAAAGTGCAACCTGAGATTAATGAATATAAACTAGAGTTTCAGATGCAGCGCTTAAATCATTTGCATGTTTCATGCATGATAATTGAATTTATGTATGCACTTCCTTTCATTTAACTATTTCCAGTCTCCTTGTGATTCACATAAACGAAGAGTCCATTATACTAACCTCTAGGTGGAAATAGCTTGCCTAGACTTTACTGCTAAAGAGAAAATCAAGTTCTTGTTTTTTTTTTTTTAATTTGAATTTCAGTAATACAATACATTTTTATAAAGCAGAGGGCAGTGTTTAATAGTCTGGTATGCTGTTCAGTAAATAGGCACCTCAGGTTTATTTTCGATAAAAAAACAGAAAAATCATGGAAACTTACAGCATTGAGTTTTCAGTGGTCCTGGAGTGGTCCTGGGTTCAGTGTGGCCACTTAAAATGCTTAATAATACCAAGAGCTACATCAATTTAATGCAGCATTAAAAAAATGTTCTTGGAGTTTGGACCTGAGCTATTTAGATTGCTGAGTGATATCAGTGCACATCATTGTTTCTGGTATAGTTAGATATTTGTTTCCATAGCTGGGGCTGGGGGATGGTGTCAGTCTCTATGAGAGGCTCTAGATGAGCAGTTCGTACTTATTGTCCCTTAGTATGTCCCTTAGGCTTGATTCTTTCTTTCCTTTTTGTTATTTAGTTGTAGGAGGCTTAATGCTTACATAGTGCAAGCAGGTACGAAGTCCCTCCTCCCCACCCACTCCCAAATGAAACATCTAAAAATGGGCAGTGGGTATATAAGACAGATTCCTGAGGGAGAAGTTGAAGCAAGAGGCTTGGAATAATTCCCCTGGTTTCAGTTTGTTTCGGTGATCTGTCTGTCTTCTGTCTTTCCTTATGTGTTTCCAAGTTCAATGTCAAAGTGATGAGCTTTTCTCCAGGAATTCTCCCCAGTGTCCTTTGTTTTTTGGTGAATTCAATGGCTGAATGTTGCTGAGTGTCTCCTGGTCTTGTTTCCTGGTCCTTGTAGCTAAGAATGTCGTTGAAGGATAAAATCTTGTTAATTTGTGATGTCACAATTTAAGTGTGCTTCCTGTCACTTATGTGTAGTTTAAAATGTTCCTTAATGTAGCATGAAATGATTGGTTAGCTTTGAAATGGTTGTGAAGTCATGTGAAGAAAATAAGTTTTTGCATCCGACCAAGATAAATTCACTCTAGTGCTTTATGGCTTTTTATTCCTATGTGATAGTAATAAAGTCTCATGTAGGGATGGAAGCCATGAAATACATTGTGAAAAATCATCAACTAAGAAGGGGCCATCAGTATAGAGGACGTTAGCCTGTGGAGCTGTGGACGTGATGGAGCGATGACCTAGTGTATAGCTCTGCGACATGCTTGGTGTTCCTGAGTTTCTTTATTCTTAGATTTTTGACGGCTGAGGAATCTAGGTGCCAAGAGTTGGTTCATCTTCGTCATCATTGATTAACATGCACATCCGGGATAGCGCATTTCTGTTTATCATACGTTCTTCTCCGTTCTCTACTAATGAACATCCTCTAGGGGAGCTATGGTAACCCACCACTCTGGTAGGCAGCATTCAATCCTTCTATGCCTTTTTTTTTTCGTCAAAAAAAAAGGTCTTACTGTTGAGGTCTTACTTCTGAAACAGAGAAGAATTAAACAAGTCAGATTTACCTTCTTGGAAATGTGGTCCAGATTTCTCTACTCCCAAGCTCTAAAAAAAAAAAAAAAAAAAAACCCAAAAAAGGTATACGTTATATGGGTTAGGGCAACACCTCTTGAGTGCCATCAATCCACTGAGCTGTTTTGTGCTGCAGGGGGTGGGGTGGTGGAAGACTGATGACAGAGAAGGGAAGGCAGCCTTTGGAGTGAAGCTGGGTTCTAATTGCTCCAACTTCAGCTGTGTGACTTGGGGCAAGGGATTTAAACTGGGTGGGCCTCTTTCCTTATCTAGGAAATGGGGAGCAGCAATTCCCACTTTGTAAGGCTATTATGAGGATAAAATGCATGTAGTGCCTAACAAAGTATTTAACATTATATCTTTTTTTAAAGCTCATGAAATATTAGTTTTTCTTCCTTCCTTCCCTCTTTCTCCTCCTGTTCCCTTCTCTCTCCCTCCTGTACCCGCCCCTCCTTCAGATGTTAGTCTAAGACAACACCTTTGGATGTAAGCAGCACCTTGAGAAAGAAAAGACTTCTTCAAGAATGTCTTGTTCCACCTCCTTTTCATATGGGCCTTACATGCCCGGGTTGGATCAATAGTTTAATATATTTTTTTGTACTTGAACTGTTTAATATTTACTACTCACCTCTATTCATTTTGACTGTTTTCTGTATGTTTATTTTTGCTGGAACTTTTTTAATATTGAATATTGACAAGTACTTATTTTTACTGGCTTTCTGTATTTTTTCAATGGGACTCCTAATAAAAATTATTTGTTTCTCTTTTGCCTCTCCTTTTCCTCCATATAATGCGATGGGCTTTGAAAATGTCTACACTTCCCTAAATGGACAAATGGTACCTTTTCCTTAGAAACTACTCATTCATAGTGCCAAAAGAACCATGCCCCTCCTCCCCACATCTGATTTACATAACAACATGGGGAAATTGTTGTCCATTTAATTCCAACTTTGATGCTTATTTTAAATCTATAAAATTTAGAATTTGACTCTTGCTAAAATCTGTAAAATAATTATAGATAAGGAAAAGGACTTTGCAAGAACCCCAATACTGATAACTCCTTTAAATTACAGAATAATGTAAATATATTGCTGTCAAAAATAGAATATAGTGAAGGAAATCCATGATACCACACATGCCTCCAGAGTTCTTCTATTATAATCATATTCATCTTTTAAATCTGATATATTCCCATTTAAATCCTATATTTCCAGGCCTTTGTAATGCCCATGAAATTTAGGAGACATTCAAATATTTGAAAATAAATGAAAGGAAAAGAAGAGAGAACAAGGTTAGGAGGAGTGGGTGGAAGCAAGGAAAAACAATGAGAACAATTAAAAAGTAAAAAACCAGCCAGGCTCTATGTCACACATGTGTAATCCCAGCAATTAAGGAGGCTGAGGCAGGAGGATTGCAAATTCGAGGTCAGCTCAGCAACTTAGTGAGGCCCTATCTCAAAATAAATAAATAAAAAGGGCTAGGGATGTGGCTCAGTGGTTAAGCACCCCTGGATTCAATCCCTGGTATCAAAAATAAATAAAAAAAAATAAAAAGTAAAAGACTGTATCATGATGGGAAATATATTTTAAGTTTAGGGAAGCAGAGCAAACACTCAAATACAGATAAAGAGCCACTTCAAGATTGAGATGAATTTAAGTTTGCAATATGATAGAGTACTAGGCCACTCAAGAATGTAATGTATGAATAGCATAGACAAATTACAAGTAGGTATCTCAGAGCAAGAAAAGTTCCCTAGAATCAGAGAAAAACCATCAGGAGTTAGAATGGCAGTCAAATTTCCTTAAGCAAGAGTCAAGGAATTCATGAAAAGCTCCATTGAGTGGTTCTAGGAAAATTTTCCAACACACAAAAGTATTCTACCCTGGAGAATATATTTACTTCTAAATATCTTTACAAGTACCATTAGAAGCAGATATTAGATTTTAATGGACACACTTAGATAAATTAATGAGTGCTGAGTCTCAGTGGGCTGCAATTAGCTATTGCCCACGTGGGACAGGATGAGTGCAAGCTCTCAGCATGCCAGTGATTTCAAGGACAACCATGTATGTACTCCTTTTCCCCTCCTATCCTCTTGTAAGGTTGTATTTAACCTCCAAGTCTTGCTGTAACTCTGAGGCAACTTGTGCAAAACCTGCTGTCATCAAGAAGGGCTTGGCACCTCCCAACAGGACTGGCCTTGGTAGGGTTATGGGCTGGCCATAAATGTCACAGAGTATTCCTATGTAAATACTCCAGTGGAGGTTACCTGTGTTGGCCATTGGAGCACAACACTATGGTGAACAGTGGGACCCAAGCATCAGGAGTGCATTGCCTGCCTTATCAGATGTTTCTCTTTGTCAGAGATTTTACCACCAACGAGGTGTTTGTCACTGGAGGATAACATCGATGGGATCAGAGTTTGGGAAAACCACACATTGTCTAACACATTCAAATCCCAAATTGTGCCATAAGTTTGTGAGGCCTCCTAGGAAGAAAAATTAGAGTTCAAGAGTCTCTCATTCTCTGGGTGGTACCATACACTGTGACTCCATAGTTCAAATAGCATAATCTGATGTTTTTAGTCACCATTTGGGTCTCACCAACTAGACACATACTCTGAGCTATCGGCATGGGTGGGAATGGGTCCTGCTGTCCCCAACTCTCTCTTGCCTGCCTTTATCACCAAAGTCACCTGCATGTACATGTGAGGCATAACTGAGATGGAGATTCAACCAGTATTTCTGGATCAAAGTGGGCCTACGTATGAGAGCAGAACCAAGAATCTGGGTGCACCAAATAATATGAACATTGGTTATGAGCTTCAGATTTTCCACTTCTAAACCAATTATTGAAATCAAATATTTCAAGGACAGCTGTTCCAGAGAGGGATGCCACAGATCCTGTTCATACAGGCTAGACTTGGAATCAAAATTCTGATGGCTGAAGGGTGCAGTGGGATAGGATTTGAGAACATCTCTCAACATTCCACCAAATGGCCCTTCTCACAGCCTTTCATAAATGAGACTACTAGACCTATGACAATCCAGAGATGAAGGTCAATGATGCCAGTCCTCCTCACCTTTCCCTTCACCTTCAGCCCTTATCACAAAGAATGCAAAATAAATTGATTGGCTTAAGGTGATAATATTGGTGCTCATGGTTCATTGTTTGATTCCTTTAGCTATTTTCTCTTTCCTGTCACAACAAAACAAAGCAAAACAAAAAAACTTTTTTTTGTAAAGAGATAGAAATATTGTGGGAGTATTTTTTTTTTTTTTAGCAGAGAATACATAAGCAACTTACTGGTAGTCCAAAAATGAGGTGACACACAAAGTTTCAACAAATCTCGAAGACTGAATTGCCTACCTAAGTTCAAAGCCCTCATAGGGATCCACAAAGTCCATGTGGCCTGACTTCACTCCATCTTTCTGACCTCATCGCCTGCTACTCTCCCCCAGCTCATCCTCCAGCCGCACTGGAGGTTATTCTGGGAACAAACCAAACATTCTGTTTTAGAGACTTTGAAATTGTTCTTCCCTTTTCCTAGAATCTTCCTGAATAACTACCCCTTGGCCTCCTCGCTCCCAGCTCCCTGCTCAAAAATCTCTTATTGGAGAGATCTGCCCTAACCATCTTCTATAGAATTACTTCTCTTCCTCCTCCAGACTCTGGTTTTGCTCCATGAAGAGCACTTTTTGCAATCTGATATGCTACAAATTTACCTACTTTTGATTTTCTTACCTCATTCAGACATAAGCTCTAGGAGGCCAGGGGATGAATCTGCCTCTTTTTGATTGCCTCATTTCCAAAGCCTGGAATTGTGTCTGCCCAGGATAGATCTTCAAATGTTGGTCGAATGAAGTCAGTACATATGGGCCACTTCCTGGCATTCATGTATAGATGCTGACATTACATATTTCCATAACAAAGAATCACTTCTATTTCCCACCCCAGGAGTTAACCGTGTATTCACCATTATTTTCTTCTTAGACACACATAACTTTGCTTTTATAATTTCCTCTTTCCTAAATAATACTTCAATCTTCTCCCATCAACTTTAATCCCACCTCTCCTTTTGGTGTGTGGTTCTGGGAATTGAACCCAGGGATTCACACATACTAAGCAAGCACTGTATCATGGAGACAGGGTCTCACTAAGTTGCCTGGGCGGGCCTCAAACTTAAGAGGTGAGCATGAGAAAGTTTTGACTTTTTTTTTTAAATCAGTTTTATGCTGATTACTAAAAAGTTAGCCAGATTATCTTGCTGTCTCCACTCTTTTGCTTTATTCCTTTTGGGAGTGTCTGTCAAATTTTTACTTAACTTTTTCAGTTTTCATCTCAATTTCTAAAATAAAGAACTTATTTTAGACATGGAAGAAAGCCATTCATTATAGTTTCTAATGCCTCTATTCTACATATGTGGAAATGTCATGTGCAGCTATTCTGATGGAGACTAGCAGCCTTGCAGGGAGGGATTCGGAACTTCTGATTCTCCAGCAGCACCTGAAATATATGGAAACTCTGAGTCAGCCCAAAGGAGTCAGAGTAACCGTGCCACCCCTAAACTATCATGCCCACCTGTTTCTTATTGAAATGAATGTCAAAATGTTCACAAAAGCACCTCTTGTTGTGGCGAGATTAGATATGTTTATGTGTAGGATGTAACTTTCAAGTTGTACTCCCTATTCTGCTTACTGTGTTAACTTGTTCTAGAGGCCTCTAGAACAAGGATGAACAATTGGAAAGGATGAAACAGTTGGTAGTTTAAATGGGGCACCATGTTCTGATAAAAAAAAAACACATTAGCATGTGAATCGATATCTTTCCCTGGGTGCCTACGATACATGCAGAAGATCTGAAATTCCAAATTATTTATGGAGATTGCAGTGTTATTTACCAATAGGCATTAATATCTCTAAAGAAAATGTAAGTGCTCAGGTAAAACAAACGAATGACTCAAATTGACAGGAGACCTCCAAAAGGAACTAAAACGAATGAACTTAATAACTGCTTACTATGGTTGTATAGAGGTGTATGTGTCATTTAAAGTTATTTTAAATTCAAGAGAAGAAAGGCATGAGGCTCACCTGAAAGAAACCTGGATTTGCACAAATACCACATATGATTTTTGCGAATTTTATTTTTCACCTCACACATTTCTTAGTTATGGCTTGTTCTTATCCCGATTACAGAAAACAATTTCAGCACATCATTGCTTGGTTTTTATCAAGGCCAAGAGCTTCAAGCCAGTTGGATTCCCAACATCTTCTGCAGTCATAGCCTCTTGAGTCTAGAAAATAGCTTTCTTTTAAGAGGCCTCACCACCTCTCCATGTCCATAATCTTCCCCCTCAATATGCTTAGGAACTAAGCAAAAGTAATCCACCCGTAACTATTAGGAACCATGTGGTTTACATACATTATTTTGATGAATCTCAACAATCTCACTAGGAGGTTAATATCCTTTTTTTGTTTGTTTAATAAAAGAATTGGAAACTGAGGCTCTGAGAGCTTATGTGGGACTGATTGAGCGCCTTTTGATTTATTCTCTTCCTACCTTTGATGTCAGTCTTCAAACCCCAGGTTCACGTGGGAGGGCCAGTTATGAAGTGATCATCTAAGCGCTCCAACCCTACCTCTGTGTCTTGTTTAGGGTGGTACAAAAGGATCCCTTCTCTCCCAACTTCCCAGAGTTTTGAGATCAGAATCTTGTGGCCCTCCACCAACTGTCCACCTCCCTGCCCCTTCTTTGTGTTCTCCTG